CCCCCCCACCCGGTTGAAGGCAGAGAGCACGGACCTTGATATCAGAGGCGACATCCGATCTCGTATAGTTTCATCTGTGGTAGAGGTATTCTATTGGTTCGAGGGTTGTAAAGGCTTGTATGCATCCCTGTAGGATCTCAGGTAGGTGGTAGTCTTATCCTGACACTGGCTTGTGCCCAAACATCTTGCCACAAGAGAACAAAGGTGCAATGTTCGCTGTCCTGTTTTCCATCAACCTTCACGGGGATTTCTTAGGATAGTAGACAATTATAGGGGGGTGTAGGCACACTCTAGTTCTGAGAGATGGGAGCCCCAAAGTGCAACCAATGACCAGTGATCGTCTGAGCAGTCCAGTGAGGGGTCCAATTGAGTAAGGGGTAATGCGTTCCTTCCACAGTGAGTCGTCTACATCACCAAGCGTAGCTTGCGTTTGCCCAATCCCCGCCACCTGCTGTCTCCTGGCTATCTGTTATCACCATTTCCGTTCATGGAGCAGAAAAATCCAAAGAATGGCCAAATTTACTCAGACAGAGGATCATCCCTTCATGGATCAGCGAGTATTTGCAAGGATATCAGAAGGGACGTCAACTGTTTCCAGGCAGTCTATTCCTTACAGCTACAAGGCCTTCTGGGTCAGCGGAGACATCTCACGATTAGTCATCTGGCAGTCTGTGGGTACCATGCCATGTCTGTAGAGCTCCCACGAGAGAGAGGGAAGAAGATGTAGACAGTGAGTTCCTGAATGAACAGGTTGGCCAGCTGTGACGCCAGACCTACCATAATGGTGGATGTGTATGGACCCTTCTATGAGTCGAAGGGTCGCTGCTCATATCGCACCTCACAGGGCTATGGTACCTCCTGGCCAGAGCTCCGTCTGCAACCCCTGCTCCTGTGCACAGAGCAGGGGTCCCCAGGCTGCTCGACAGGGATGGGGAGTTGACTTGGTTGAGGCTGGCTTGCTAGAGAGCATCTGGGGTTTCACCCTCAACCCTTACAGCCCGTCCTTCCAAGTTAACTGATGCTCAATCACTGAGTGGCAATGTTACGCAGTGGCAGAGACTTATACTCCAGCCATGAGACTCTTGAAGGAGGTGGCTTTTGGCTAGAGGGTGTAAACTGAGCTCATGTACCCATTGTAGTGGGGGGGTTTTAAACCTGAGCAGGATATACATTATGAGTTAACCTGAAAAACTAGATAGGGGGCCAAGCATGCATGCACACACACTGCTGAAATTATGCTTTGAGCCAGACTCAACATTCACTCCTCACACTGCTTTTGAATAGTCAAAAAAAATGTGAGACAATTTATAGTCACAAAAGTTAAAGCTAAAGAGGGTAATTAATTTTTAACAGGAAAATTCCATTACATAGCTTAAATTGCTCTTGATTATATTTGGGGTTGTTATTAAGTGGACACCACTAAGCTAGAGGAAAATGCATGGCTGGATGGTGGCATATATAAATATAAAACTCCAGATCTGTACGTTTTATTCACATTTAATAGGCGGTGCCCATTCGCGGGATCAGAACGGTTAGGTTCCGTTCCGTTCGGATCAGGCCCATTTCTGGCAGATTCCGTGCACATTAGAAATAGACTCCTGCCCCAATTCTATTAAATGACCCAAAAGTTTAAAAAGTTACCGTTCACGGGAAAGCCATACCTTTGAATAATTTCAAAGCTGCTAGATAGCGTCACTCTTGAGATTCATGTGATAGGATAATTTTAAGTGAAAACGGCATACCTCAGGCGATTGTGATTGGTCATCAACGTTAATTGACCACACTTTACTCGCTATAAATTAAAAGTCATAAACCCACCCAGGGGTGACGTCATTTCATTTTAGAGTAATGGGAGACCATTTTACTGGTTGTGGGCCTTGGGGTCACCGTGGATTCTTCCCTTGATGCGTCATCTAAGAGACCATTTTCCTTGCTCCAGAGCACCGGGATCTCATACCCAGAGCCCATTGGCATGATCGGTTCAGGTCGGTTTGGTAGGTGGGTTTAGCCAGTTTGAAGGCAAAACAAAAGCGACCTTTATGGTACAAACCGATCAACCAGATGGTGACTTTAAAAAACAAACGCGTTTGTTTTCAAGTTCAAGGCTGTGGGTAGCGTGATCGGTTTGTGTACAGCTAATCACAACAAGGCTTTGCAATCTACGAGTCATGTGACCCTCGTGACACTGCGATGTCAAGGTCAGGCCTTTTTGCGCTAAATGCCATAATTTAATAGAAAAACGGACTCTGTCGATAATGAGAAGATCATCTATAGGTCCTTCCTATATTAGCCTATGTTTATGGGATACTAGGCTGCCGCTAACATCCAAAGTGTGATGCGGCAAAGAATCTTGAAAGTCATTGTTCAAGGGTGTGGTTTCCTAAGATATCGGTAAGCTTGTTTTGTTATTTTGATAACTTTCATGACATGCATGTCTATTTTGCAGTGTGCATTGAAATTACCTGAAAACGACCCGAACCGAACAGATACCCAATGTGCACTATTAGACAACTACTAGATCTACAACTACTAGGCCTACTACTAACAAAGTTTAACTGACGGAGGCCATAACTTTTTCCAGACATAGTCGTTTTGGGGTCTAGACATAATTAACTTGTGACTCAATTCCGCTAAAAAGGTGATGCACAAAATAACTTCATCATGCATAAAAATAACCATAACTCAAAACGTATATCAAATTAAAACAAAATTGAATAAAGGAATACATTCCAACATGAAACAAGGATTATTTTTGGGAGGACTTCCGTAACGACTGACCACTATTATGAAACAGTACAATAGAGGGTTAGGGTTTGGGGTAAAGGTAGGGTTAGGGTAGGGGTAGAGGTAAGGGTAGGGGTCTTGAACTTACGGTAAGGATAGGTTTTGAGGTAGGGGTTCGGTCAGGGTTAGGGTTGGATCTAGGTTCCTTCTTTATTGTGTCTGTTGGGGTGCTCGCTCATTACGGAAGTCCTTCCTCATTATTGAATATTTATGCGTTACAAGGGTTAGAAATGGCGATGGTAGTGAGAAAAATACATTTTGAAGGAAAAAATTACACGCACTAAACATGTGAAAGCGAATCAGCATCTAAGCTATCTTATCATGTACAGGCCAAGAGCAACCATAAATTTCTGAAAGTGCAGCTTTTTATTTGAATGCAGAATCTATTCCAATTTTAGTTTGAGTTATGATATATATTTATGGGAGTGTATACAGACCCGGTAACCGGGAACTAAGTCACGAAGTATACAGACCCGGTAGGGGAACTCTTTTGTGAATTCGGAAAGTTTCAGCGCCCTCTTGGCTCAGGTTAGACCTAGACCTAGGTTCTTCTAGATCTAGATCTATGGCCTAGGTCTAGATAGACAGACATAAATCATTGATCTAGTTTCGAGGTTAGCCTAGATCTAGATTAGATCTAGATCTCTAGATCTAGATCTAGATCTCTAGACCTAAATGAAGATTGCGGATGTCTTTTCGATGAACGATCGTTTTTCCTCCGTTTTTTTTGGACTTGGAGGAATCACAATTTGAAGAAAAGAACAATGTCATAATTTCAATCGAGCAGTCTCTCTCTCTACTCTCTCTCTCTCTCTCTCTCTCTGTATCGCTCGCATTCTCTTTTTCTTTGTTTGTCTCTGTCTTTCTTTCTCCCCACCTATCTTTTTCTCGTTCCCTCATGTTACCTGGGGCATGTCATATTTTGCTAGCACTTTCCCCTGCTCTCTCTCTCTCTCTCTCTCTCTCTCTCTCTCTCTCTCTCTCTCTCTCTCTCTCTCTCTCTCTCTCCTCACACACACACACACACACACACACACACACACACACACACACACACACACACACACACACACACACACACTACCGGGTCTGGGCGCTGAATCAAAACTTTCCGACCTCACAAAAGAGTTCCCCTACCGGGTCTGTATACTTCGTGACTTTGTCCCCAGTTACCGGGTCTGTATACACTTCGTATATTTATACTGAGTCCGGTTAGATCGTTTTGTTGATGCAAGACCGCAAGAACTAATTCACATGTTTTTCGCCAGACCGAACCTTTGACAAAGTGAAACTAGATCTAGATCTAGATGTTTTCGTTTCCTGAACCCTTTCCAAATTTTCACAATAGAAAGAACATAAATAATGGATCATGTTAAAAACGAAACAAAACTGAGGCACCCCATCATAGCTGATATATCGGCGATACATCCGCAAGGGGTGTGGACTCGCGCCACTAAATGGGCGAAACATAAAGAAAGAGTAAGCTGACAACTAATAACTAAGACTCAAGACTAGATTATAGATTATAGATCTCTCTAGTTAGTAGTCTCTGTCTCTATTAGAGTCTATGTTCTGGACTACACTACAGCAAGGAAGTGGCTACTGGGGTGAGAATAAAAATACAATCGACCTCTCACCCCGGGTGAGACTTGCCAACGTAGGGCATTCTCATCTAGTGTGAAATAAGACCTGTTTTTCAGATAGACAATTTAAACAAAGAAGAAAATGACATTAACACAAAAGTAAGCTAATTTGGTAGTCTACAAAGATGCTATGGCTATTTAACTTTTTGAATCGAGCAGAACTACAGGGGTCGCCATTTTATTTTGACCAGAAATTCTCGCGCTACTTCTCTCTCTCTCGCCTCTCCCCGCCCCTTTCTCTCTCACTGACCACAGACAAATTGAAAATTGCACGCTTTCAACACAAGAGCGCTGGAACATTTGTTCACAGTGAACGCTACACTGGTTGGCCTATCACGGTGGAGGCACACAGGGTGAGAATAGCCAAAAGGCCCTCCTGCGCTATTCTCACCCGAGAGGTGGCCCTACAGCAGCCGCCTGTCAGTGGTCAATCGCGTTGTCCCCTCGTTTCAGTCTTCAGCAATCATGTGTTTGCTGATGACCCACTACATTATCTAGATTCTAGAATCTACATGCTGGAGGCTAATATTGGAGTTAGGCTAGCTAATAATTTTTAATAAAACAATCACCTACCTCGAGGTTTTCTATAACCTATAGGTGGAGTAAACGAACTTGATGTTTCTGCCATGCTCACATCAACCTTCTTTTCGAAGCCAATTTATTTCAAATTATCTAGATCTAGATATCTAGATCTAGATCTAGAATCTAGATTTAGATATAGACTCTAGATCTATAGTCTAGATTCTAGATCTAGAATCTAAATCAAGTCAGGCAGTCAGCATCTTAAGAAGCGAAGGACTGGTTGTTCATTGTACAGCAGATTCTAGATCTAGCCCAAGCAGAGACTGTCCTGCCAAGAGACCCCAACTCAGTCCGGGTCGTTGCAAGGCCTGTGCAGAAACCGAATAAATTATTCGAATAACCGAATACGAGCCCAAAACTAGGTCTCCGGTTAATTTTTCCAAAAACTAGGTAC